AAGCTGTCGACCTAGTTTCAGAAAAACATCGGTAATACACACATCCACTATGGTTGGAAGCCAGGATCTTCCTGTTGCAAGACAAGTGAGCCATTGGGACCTGACTTAATAGCCAGCTCAACTGCAAACAGCTTGTGATTTTTGCGCGACTGGCATTAGCCAGTGTTATCGGTGGAGAGTATTTGTTCTCACTTCCGACCGGAGTGGAACCCACTGGTCACGACTTCTCACTAAAACTCCAGACAGCTTCTTCTTGTAGCCATTCACTAGGTTAATTTCCAAGAGTCTCTCTATGACCTTGTCCTGTCACTTCATGGCCCTGGATTCTCATCATCGTAGAGGGTGTGTACACCTGAAGAAACCTACACTGGGGCGAAACAGCTGCCTATTACTGCTGTATTTCCAAATCACGAATTGTTAGAAGGCCGAATTTATGGGCTGGCGCCATTGAGTCGGGTCCCAATAGCTGAATCATATATATATACCGGCTTGACTCGTCAGCCAATTTGTGGTTAAACTTGAAACATATTTGGAGGTATACGATTGATTTACTTTAGTTTTTTCATAGTTTCAGCTGTCTAGTAAACTGATGAATAGTATTAAACGTAAGGAGGCTTAATGCATTTCTTTTCTTTTGTTATGAGAATCTTTAATTCGTATAATTTCAAATACTTCCAATGAGTAGAAATACAATATAAAATGTCACCACCACGTGACCAAGTTATTTGCAACAGTTAGCCGTGTCTAGCGTGTGTGTGTGTGTGTGTGGCGCTCAACGAAATCTATCGATCATGCTTTCCATTGTAATCAATAATCTTAGTGACACAAACACTGTTAGGCGCTGTAGTATTAATAATAATAATAAGGTTGTATTCAATATTCAGAGTATCAAATCAGTAAAAAGTCTTTATTCTAGGTTCCGTAAAAAAATTTAACCTGTTTCAAATCGACTCGCATGCTTAAAATTCTAAAAAAAAAAGGGTTAAAACGTTTGTATACACATGAGCTGCGTTAATTACTAATATCTTTTTACTGGTTTCATCATGTGATAACATCAGTTAGAGAATCATTGGTATCTATAAGGGAGTACTAGACAGCTGTTTCGGCTTAGTGCCACCGGAGCTCGAACTCAGGACCTTATGTTTGCAAGTCGAGCTCGTAGACCATTCAGTCACTCACTGGAACTGGATCCAACCCCTCCCTCCTCCCATCTTATGGCATTTCGTGATATATGCATAGCCCCACCATGGGCCAATGTCATAGGCGAATAACTCTTCTCCTGCCTTACTTGATGGACTTCATTGGTTACGACTTCTCACTAGAACTGCAGGCCAAGTTCCTGTGTGCAGCCAGTAACTAGTAGGCATCACTCAATATAATTATTTAATTTAATTTCTAGAGGAAAATAGGGCTTCAGAAAAACGTCTCAATTGCGTTCGGTTCTCTGCTAAAGTTTTCACCTGGCCCCACGTCTGCCTACATGCTTTCTCCTCCTCTTCACATCACCTCCTCCAAGTCACCCTTGGATGAACAACTCGCTACTTCCCATTCGGGTTTCACTCGAGCGAGGGCCTGTATAGTGATGTCACTTGATGGTTTCCTCAGAGTATGGCCGATCCATCTCCATTTCTTCCCGTATGTTTGTTGCACAGTCAGTTTCTGTTGGGTTGATTAGCTCATTGCCGAATATCCCTCACTTTTGTTGATCATTTCTCGCCGGCCATCTGATCTTGAGTAGTGCTGAGCGAAGACAGCTGATGATGAAGGTCTGTGCTTTGTTCTAAGTGCTTTTAGTGACGAGGCGCCAAGTCTCTGACCAGTATAGTAAGTAGCGCTGATTTCACATTGGAGTTGAAAATCCGGATCTTATTTTTGATGCAGAGTGCTGTTGATCTCCACACAGACTTCAGAGTAATGGAAGCTTGTCTTACTTTCTCGATTCTCGCTTTGATAGTCTCCTCAGTTCCGTTCGCCTGTAGTTGAAACGATGCTTCCCAGGTAGGTAAAGGAGGCTGTTTCTTTCAGATTCCTCCCATTTGTGCAGGCTGATTGTTGTCTGCTGCTGTTGTTATTATTGATGTTGGCCAGGAATCTTCATCACCTCTGTTTTCTCTATGTTTACCTGGAGTTCTATCTTTGATGTTTCTTCTGCCAACTTGTTGCGTTTCAAATGTATATCTTCCAGTTTTGTGAGAGTCTATCACTAAGATTTAATTCATCACACCTGAAAGATCAGAGTAGTGTTCTCTTTTATTCTTACAGTGCGCACTGCATGCATGCAGTGCGATTTATCCACACTTACTGGATACGGAGCACAAGACTGATAGAAATTCCACCGATAAAATTCGACTGCTAGGCATAGCTAGGGCGGTTGTCATAAGAATTTTTCAACCCAATTTCTCTCTCTCTCTCTTCAGAAAGAGTTTGTTCAATATCTCTCCCTCTTTTGGCTCTGACCCCCAGCCTAGAATAGTGTTATCTTACTCGGTGTGTCACTGGATAACTGTAAATTTTATTCTTGTCATTTTATTTTTATGTGTATTGCTGTGCTGTAATTGCATATCTTAATCTCGGTTTCACAGTTTATTATTAAGTTATTTAACCGCTATGTAATTATAGTTTTATTCTTCCCACCCCTCCTACCCCTAACCAGTATACATATTCTACTTATACTGTGGCAAGTATTACTGATAATAGTTATCAGTAGTATATAAAGAGAAAACCATCAGCATGAAAAGAATTGAATAGCAGGGATATAGATTTGATGTCACAGAAGGCAAATGATACAGCGTTGTGGAGGTATATGGGAGACGTGAAAGCAACACAAAGAAACACGCGCGCACACGCAAAATATGAAGGAAGGCCAGAAGTAGCACAACACGGAAGATCTGTGAAAATAACGGATTGAAGATAATTTGGCTATAAAGAGTTACCAAATTGCAAATAAACATTCCTTTATCAAGTATCCTTTTATTAGTGTTTGAAAACACAATTACCTAGACTATATAAACACTTGAAGAAATTTATCCCTGTTATTATTATTATTTTTTTTCGAGCATCGGTTTTGTAGGGATTTTGTTTGATTGCATGGAGGATTTAATCATGAACCGACATCATTTAGAGACCATTGGATAACCTGCAGGGAGTACTGGAAAGCTGTTTCGTCAGCCTTGTTTGGGACTCTTAAGCAGTACATAGCCACCGCCAGGGTTCGAACCCAGGACCTTCTGGCTACAAGGCGAGTTCGTAGACCATTGAGCCACTGGGATCCGATTGTTATTATTGTTATTATTATTATTACTATTGTGATCAACTCGATTGTTATCCATTAATTCACATTTCTGAGCTGTGATCTTGCATTTTATTAACCAAATAATTTCAAACGCCTATGAGTGATATTTTATTACGAAAATTTAAAGCCTGATGTGAATTTGCTAAAAAATACATAAATGCTTCATTGTGAGTAAGATTTTATTTTGATAAGTCACACAGTGTTGCTGTACAGTAATATTAACTGATGACCAAGTTTCGAGCACAATTTATATGCCACTCATAACCATATCAAGTTACACAACTTTCTTTTCCTTTATTTATATACATGTGTGGAATTGACTAGATATTGGAAGAAAAGTTAATATAAGATAATGTACATTCAGAAATAATAATAATATGAGTGTTATTCGTCAAATAGAATCAGATGGGAAATAAGACAAGTGTGTTTATAGTCATAATAAGTAACTTTTTAGAATGTTGTGATGTGCTTGAGCTGAAATAGAATTCTAAGATTATTTATTATCCTCCTGTGATTTGACTGACTGGTGGTAATAATATCTTTCATATTTCTGGTATTTGCATTAAGTCCTTCCCATTACCTGTGTTGGCTGTAGACTAGATGAATCAGGACTCAGTAATCAATCTCTCTCTCCACCTGCATAGATTACTTCTAAGAATCTTAAGCTTCTTCTACCCACCCTATTGTGTGGTTGTATGTTAATGCATGTGGTGCGATGTAGTGCTGAGCTCTTTTCTAATCTTTTCGGGTGGGGTTAACCGTTCTGACCTTAGCTAAATTCTTATGTTCCAACAATCTGATTACCCCAAATCTCCTAGTTTCACCTATGTAGTTGACCTAACTCACATTCATTGCAAGGTATTTTGTAAATTATATTATTTTGTTTGATTGCATCCACCGAGTGTTTTAGCCTACAGAGCTTGTCGTATCTGAGTGAGTTTGTAGGTTTGAATGCCACCCTAATTACTGTTTTCTTGAGAATCCTACGTAGGATCTCAGATGTCTCCTCCCTACATGACATAACAGTAGATGACTTATGTTCTCTCTTATTCATGTTATCAATACTAGTTTCACAATTATTTTTATTTTGCTTGCCTGTATAGTGCTCTATAATTATCAGGGGAAAACTCATGATAAGTAGCTGACAATAAGACAAGTTTGTTTTACCTATGTCCTATATTTTGCAAAAGTCAGATAATTCATGAAACTGATGCTCACTGGCGACTGGCCCTATTCAGATGGGTAGTTTACCTGGGTTCTAGTGAGAAGTCGTGACCATTGGGGTACATTATGTCGTATGTGAGGACAAATACCCACCACCGATGATATTCACTAGTGGTCAAGCCATATAGTAAATTGGCAGAAGTTGAAATTCATGAACTAACCAATGGATTGAGTCGCAGTGGGTTAATGATCTACGAGGTTACCTTGTGGACGGAAGCTACTGGGTTCTAACCCCAATGAGCGCGTACACCTGAAGAGTCCTGAGTACCAGGACGAAACAGCCTGATGTTTCCCAATGGTTCTCTAACCGATATCAGCTGGTTACGAAATCCAGCAGTTGGATATACATATATATATAGATATATACTTCGTTGTTCATTTAACTCGATAAAACAATAACGAAAATTCTGATGGTTATTCACAGACATGTTCAAAATCCACATTAGGATAATTGATAGATCGAGTTTAACAAAAATGTATTTACCTTGAGTAGAATATTATAACTGATTACATCACTTAAACATGTGAATGGAGCATCAAGAATTATGCCCATAGGCAGACGAATATTATGCGAGGAATGATCTTTTTTATCCAATAAATGACCCATAAGACAACCAACAACTCTATTAACAATAAAACAAAAAAAACAAATGAGAAACGAAATGAATCAAAGGTGAACACAATTCTGTGAGATATATTTTAAGTTTGCCCACGAATTGATTTCAATTAGGAAAAAATGATTGGAAATCAGCAGGGACTATTCGACAGTTGTTTCGTCCTATTACTTGGGGCTCTTCATCAGTACGCCACACATCCCGGTTACAAGTCAAGCTCATACACCAATTAGCCACTGAGAGTCAACGCAATTGCCAGCATATGAATTCTAACTTGTAATAATTCATGATTTTAGTGGGACCACTAGCCACTATCGTCGGTGGCGAGTATTTGTCCTCACCCTCGATATGGTAGATCCCACTGTAGTCAATTCTTCTTACTAGAACTCCAGGTAATTTTGTCCCGTAGCCAGTTACTAGCAAACATCAGATTAATTTTCAAGAGTTATTCTGTACAGATTTGATTTTGTTTCAGGCGTGAGATTTAGAGAGCTACTGAAAACCGCCAGGGAGTACTGGTTTGCGAGATATACTGAACAGGCAAAAGAATTTTTGCAGAAAACTGAAGACTTAAATCATAACAACAATCAAGTTTATATGCCGCCATGTTCATCATGTTTTAAAGAGTAAATGAGGATAATAATAATGCTCTTCATTTACAATCTCAGAGGAAATTCTATAAAGGAATAGCTGTTTGGAAAAATCCCTCCTGAACTGACGTCGCACACAAACCAACAAAATCACTTCACTCAGCCAGCTCTATGTCAACCAAAAGACTCAACAACGAAAGAAGATAAAACCAACATCATCTACAAAATTAAATTGTAACAACTGAGAAAAACACTACATTAGCCAAAGTGGACGTCTCCTTCCTCTTCGTATCCATGAACATAAGGTAGGCGTCGAAAGACATGACATCCACTCTCTTGCTCATATCGCTGCATACAGACAACCACGGACATCAATTCGACCAGGACAACCAACGTTCAAATATAAAACAGAGGAAATAACAAGAATACTAAAGAATTTATAATAGCCTGGCTTGGTATTCCAGTGAATCATCAATCAATAGACACATCGAGATAGACAAAATTTACCAACCGATAAGAAGAAAACCTCACACACACAAAGGGTCAAAGATGAAGTCAAAGAAACAATCAGTTCCAATACAAGTAGCCTAGAGGGTGTGAAAACACACAGAAACAACCAATCACGTTCAAGGCCACCTACCAGGTAGGATGACTAATAAACTCGTGGAGAAATCTAAAAAGCTCACTTCAAATTCAAGTATGCACTGAAGTATGCGAAGAAAGCTTCGTAAATTAACTATCCACCTCAGAGAATACAACCACATCAAAATCATGCACCTGAACCACTAATCTTCTCCATCACACAAGTCTTTATCCCACCATTTTGGGAATATTCTACTGGATTCTCAGGTAGTTTTTACAACTGAGTTTTGGTTATCTGATTTTGTTCCACAATGCTTGATTTGTTTCTCCTGAATAAATAGTGGCCTAATGACAAACAAACTACAGACCTTCATCAACAGCTGTCTCCGCTCAGTACTACTCAAGATCAAATCTTCAGAAGAGATCAGAAACAGGTATCTCTGGCACTGAGCGAACCAATCCAGCAGAAACTGATTGTGCAAAATATAAGCAGGAAGAAATGAAGATGGATTGACCATACGCTGAGGAAACCATCAAGTGACATCACTAGACAAACTGTCGGGTAGAACCCGAACGGGAAGCGGCGAGTTGGTCGTCATTTTGAGGGTGACATGGAGGAGGTCATGTGAAGAGGAGAAGAAAGCATGTAGGCAGACGTGGAGCCAGGTTAAAACTCTAGCAGAGAACCCAATGCAATGGAGACGTGCTCCTGAAGCCCTGTGTTCCTCTAGGAATTAAAGGAAATAATAATAATAAGGGTATTTCTGAAATCTACTAGTGGTCGCATAGGGTAACCTGGCTTATATATTTTAATAGTACCATACATTCTACTAGCATTATTAGTTTTAGGGATTGAATGAAACCACTTAGACTCACCCAGTGACGGATTCATTTTGTATATTAAATCCACTGTAGATTTCCTAACATTATTGTATTTACAGGCTTCTTAATTTCCTCATAATGACCGATTTCGAAATGTTCAGTGACTTTCTTGATATTGTCAGATTTATCCAAAACTACTGTAGAGTTTCCTTTATCAGCTTTTGTGTTGACAATGTTTTTATCCTGTTTTAGAGTAATTAGAGCTAGTCTTTTCGATGTTGTTCCGTCGGATTTGGCTTTCTTTTGATTTTTCCAGGGTTAACACACATTGTGCTCAAAACTCTTCTGGTGATATGATTATGAGTAGCAATAAACTGTGCTTGAACCGTGGTCATCAGTAAATATCACTGTATAACAACAACACTGTGAGACTGTATCAAAATAAATTTTATCCACAATGGAAGTATACTCTACCACAGTGCACAAGTTATGTTCCTATAGCAAACCTATGCATGTTTGTGCATTGATCTACACCTATTGCATGAGGGTTAGTGATACTACCTGACTGTTCACTGACAAAATCTGATTGAATTATTTGACCATCATTTTTGGATTTTCAGTGATTAAGCTAAAGTTTGGTGAGAGCTGTCTCCTAGCCGATATTGGTAGACAGAAATTTACGTCAATGTTTACATCTCAAATCTTGGTCATGAGAAAAGAACAAAGACTAAAGTGACAAGTAATAACAGTAGACTTTGTGTGGGCGGATACAAACCACAGATATGTGGTCTGACCTTCAAAGAAACGGCCACAAAGAGATGACAGAATAACTTCCAGCGAGAAAACAACCAATCAGAAGACGCTGTTACTATGCTAATAATAACGAATTATAATGTAAATAAAAATCTATAAATATCTATTGATTTCCTAAATAAACAATCTGTTACCTGGCCTTTGCCTTCTGTCGTTACAAAGCGCCATAGCCACAATTCCCACACACACACAAGACAAAGTGAAGTGATGTAGCATTTGATTCTTTTTAAAGTGAAGGGCATGCAATTACACACCCTCAAGTACACTTCTAGTTCAAGATGGCAATATGAAATATCTAGGTCAGTAAGGACAGGATAAGCATACTCAAAAACGTCCTAATATATGTATGTGAAATTTGAGGCATCTCATCCTTAAATAGATCATTTGATTTTAATGCAGTCTTTAGCATTTGACAATTAACAGCGAAAAAATGATGTGAATTATTAAAGCAAAAGTTGGATTTTTTCAAGTTTGACCACGGATTGACGTCGGTTAGAGAGGGAATACTGGACAGCCTTTTCATCCTGGTGCTTGAGACTCTTCATCAGTACACACTCACCCGGATTCGAACTCAGGACCTTCCGGTTACAAGTCAAGGTTGTACACTATTTAACCAGTGGGACTCAACTCAGTGGCCGGCGAGTTAACCCGTGGGTCCACCGGGTCAGACGTGAGGAGAAATATTCACTGATGACATTGACTGTTGGTTGCGCTAAAATCATTAGTTGGTAAGAGTTAGAATTCTTCATATGCATTTGGGTCAACCCCTCGACGAGAACAGAAGTCCTGAAGACAATCAAGATGCTAAAAGCTGGAAAAGCAGCAGAGGCGGATGGAACCACAGCAGAAGAATTGAAAATGGACCAAGAGACAACAGCGGACTTGATGACGCCACTACTGGAGAAAGTGGAAAGAGGGCGAGGTACCCGAGGATTGGAAGAAGGGATACTTATTCAAACTGCCAAGGCAAGGAGACTTAAGTCAATGCAAGAACTGACGCGGAATTATGCTCCTGTCCAACCCAAGCAAAATAGTAAGCCGCATCAACCTGCAGAGGGAATCAAAGAAGCCAACCTGGATGAAAAACTTCGACCGGAACAGGCCGAATTCAGGAGAAACAAGTCATGTATTGATCAAATCGTTACACTACGGATCATCATTGAATAAGGCTTGGAATGGCAGTCACCTCTCTATCTCAACTTCATTGACTTTGAAAAGGCCTTTGATTTGGAAACTACTTCGCTACTACGGAGTGCCGCAGACAATAATAATTCTCATCCAACAGTTATACGACAATGCTGCATGCCAAGCAACCCACAACGGGAAACTTACGGAATCCTTCGAAGTGAGGACGGGAGTGAGACAAGGCTGCCTACTATCACCAATGATTTTCCTGATTGCAGTAGATTGGATAATGCGACAGACAACGGGATATGAGGAAACAGGCATAAAATGGAACCACACAAAAAAACTTGGAGGATCTGGACTTCGCCCATGATGATATATGTCTGATTTCCCACAAACCGGAAGATATGCAAGTGAAAAGCAACAAGTTGTCAGAAAGAGCATCAAAGATAGGATTTCAGGTGAACATAAATAAAACAGAGGTGATGAAGTTTTCTGGCCAACACCAACAGCAACAACAACAACAGACAACAGTCAGCCTGCATAAATGGGAGGAACCTGAAAGAAAAAACCTTCTTTACCTACTTGGGAAGCATCTTTTCAAATACAGACGGAACTGATTAGGATATTCAAAGCAAGGATAGGGAAAGTAAGGTATGCTTTCATTACTCTCAAGTCTGCGTGGAGACAGATGAACAGCGTCTAGCATGAAAATGAAAATAAGGTCCTGATTTTCAACCTCAATGTAAAATCAGTCAGCGTTACTACACGGATCACAGACTTGGCGCCTCATGAAGAGCACCTCAAACAAACTACAGACCTTCATCAACAGATTCTTTGCCCCATACTACTCAATATCAGATGGCAGGCGAGAAAACATAAGCAACAGGGATCTCTGGCGATTAGTGAGCCAACCTAGCAGTAACCGTCTGTGCAACAAATGATCATGAAGAAATGGTGGATCGGCCATACTCTGAGGAAACCATCAAGTGACATCACTAGACAGACCATCGAGTAGAACCCGAACGGGAAGCGGCAAGTTGGTCGTCATTTTGAGGGTGACTTGGCGGAGGTCATGTGAAGAGGAGATGAAAGCTTGTGGGCAGACCTGGAGCCAGGTTAAAACTTAAGCAGAGAACCGAACGCAATGGAGACGCACGCCTGAAACCCTATGCTTCTCTATGAATTAAAGGAAATAATAATAATTTGGATCAGGTCTCAGTGGCTGAGTGGTCTACACCAGATTGACATTGTAACTGGAAGATCCTGGGGGCTTACTTCTGGAGAGCCCTAAGCACTAGGACGAAACAGCTGTGTAGTACTACTGTCTGGTGTTTTCCAATGGTTTTTTAACTGACATCAGTCTGTGATGAAACCTGAAACAAATGAAATCCTTTTAAATTAACTCTTCAATAGCTGAATTACTACTGTTACTATCAATAACTGCCAAAGTACTAATTACTACATGGATGAATTATTGGATATCCTACTGATGAATGTCATCCAAAGGCATTTGTCTTTCACAATTTTTTATCTAGTTAGCTTCAACCCATAAAAGAAAAGGCGGTATGAATATTTCACAAGTTAACATAGAATATTACTACTACTTACCCAGTACCAAGTGAATGACCCCAAAAGAAAATTGGTGCATTTGGAAAACGCTTACAGACAAATTCTACAACTGTCAAACTGTCCAGAACGCAATCATTCTCGCCAGTCAAAGAACCTGTTGAGTCACCATAACCTAAGATTAAAAAAGAGAAAAAAACGAATATGTCAATGCATTAGAGGTCACTACTTTTTTCAGTGATTGTATGTATAACCAATGTCATGCACAAATCACAATAGGAGGTTATGTATATATATATATATATATATATATATATATATATATATAAGAGCTTATAACAAGTTTAGTTACTTTGAATATGGTAATCACGTGATTGGTAACCATATTATGGAAAACTTCCTCTGTTTTACACCACAATAACCACTTAGTTCAGCCAGCCAGCCAGAATCGGAAAGGAAAGATACGCATTCATCAACCTGAAACCAGTTTGCAAATCATATGCACTGCACTCAGCCAGCATAAACAATAACAATATTCGGAGTCTCTTCAACACAAATGTGAAGTCAGTCAGTCAGTCAGTCAGTGCTTCTATGCGAACCACGATAAGGATTTCCGAAAGACAGTTATAGATTTCTGTCAACAGCTGCCTTCACTGGCTCCATAGTGATGATCAAATGGCAAGCCAGAAAGAATTAGCAACAAGAAACTTTAGTTGGGAACGTTTCGTTCAACAAATATGTAGGATAAAATGGAGATGGATTGGGCACACTCTAAAGAGACCGATGGTTGACATCGCGGGCAATTCAAGCCATTGCTCGAGTAGAGGGTGAATGAAAAGTGATGATCATATTATTATTGTTTGCTTTAGTTCCTAGAGGAACATACAGCTTCAGCCAAACGTCTCCATTGCGATCGGTTCTCTGCTTAAGTTTTAACCTGGCTCCACATCTGCCCACATGCTTTCATCTCCTCATCACATGACCTCCTCCATGTCACCCTCAAAATGACGACCGACTCGCCGCTTCCTGTTCGGGTTCCACTCGATGGTCTGTCTAGTGATGTCACTTGATGGTTTCCTAAGAGTATGGCCGATCCACCATTTCTTCATGCTCATTTTTTGCACAGTCGGTTACTGCTAGGTTGGCTCACTAATCGCCAGAGATCCCTGTTGCTTATCTTTTCTCGCCTGCCATCTGATATTGAGTAGTATGGGGCAAAGACATCTGTTGATGAAGGTTTGTAGTTTGTTTGAGGTGCTCTTCATGAGGCGCCAAGTCTGTGATCCGTATAGTAACACTGACTGACTTCACATTGAGGTTGAAAATCCGGACGTTATTTCCATTTTCATGCTAGACGCTGTTCATCTGTCTCCACGCAGACTTGAGAGTAATGAAAGCTTGTCTTGCTTTCCCAGTCCTCACTTTGGTCATATCTTCATCAGTTCCGCCGCCCGTAGTTGAAACGATGCTTCGCAGGCAGGGGGAGTAGGTAAAGGAGGTTGTCTCTTTCAGACTCCTCCAATTTATGTTGATTGTTGTTGAAAGTGACGGGTTAGTTTTCAATGCAAGGGTGAAAAGGAGATGAGAGAGGTTATGAGCAATCGTGTGAGTAGCCAACTGAAAAAGACATCATGAAACATAGTAATCAAAATCTTACTTTTTTCATGAAATCGTTTTTGAAATAATACCAAGTGTACATGATAACTAGTGTTGTATCGTGTTCAATCTCCGGTCGAAGCACTCCTAACATCTCTCTAACCCAGTAGCCTAGTAAGGCCAGTTAAGAGAAAAAAAGGTGTGAGACTACCAGCCTAACCCCGTAAAAGATATAAATATCCCACCTCTACCGAAACTTCAGAAAGCTCTACCTTAAAGCCCTGTGTTCCGTTGGGAAAGTAAAGGATTAAAATTTCTAAACCAAAAAAAAAGATAATAACCAGTATGAGTGATTACAAGTTACAAGTTTGTAATTATCTCTTTTCCCTTAACGCAGAGTTTTAAATTAGGCAGGTGAGGCGAAAAATCTCCCGGGAAATATTTTACATTGATTTTTCAGACATTATTGGTTGTTCTTTACATTTAATCTGTTCTCAGTAGGTAAGATAAAAATCCTCTACCGGCTGCTCTCAAAAATTTCTCTTCCTACCTACTCATTAACAAAAAATTCTGACTTTCAGTTATCACTATCATAAGCTTTTATCCCTGTTTTTTTTATAAAGTCATGGAATTTCCAATTTAACTGAAGACTTTCTTATATTCCCCTCTTGAAACACTTTGGATAAAAATAATAATAATAATTTTCAAATTTGATCGTGGGTTGATACCATAGTTGGGAAATCATTGAAACCAATCAAAATCCCTATAAACTAACAACCGAAAATTAATCTTATGCTGCCTAGCGACTGACTCTACGGGGGACATAGTTGTCCCATTCTTATGAGAAATCATGATCTATAGGACCACCCACTCATGACACTGCCTGGCGATGGCGGTAAAATGGCTAATTAATATAAGTTACAATTCATAGGCCACTGGTCTCTGGCCTATGAGATCACTTTGTAACTTGAGGGACTTGAGGTCGAACCCCATCAGATTCATCCCCCTAAAGAGCCTCGAAATGACAAGAAATGGGTGACCAGCACTCTCTGGCCTTTATTTTTCTGGTTTTTCTGTAACAGACTCCAATCAATGGCCAAACTTGAAACCAGTTAAACTCCTGAAAACGAATAATTTTGCTAGGTACGAATCCTCTTCATCTTATAGTCTATTTTAACTAGCAGTCAACGACTGTTGATTACCATTACAAATAAATAAATACAATCTAGATGTAAAGAGATGAAACAAAAATCAATATACTGTAATCTGCAGAGATCACGATTGTGTTAGGATTTCTAACTATTCTATTTTCTTTTAAACGACAAGCGAGTTTTTTTTAATTCCTGCGTATATATTGACGAAGAGTCAACGCGTTTGTTATTTTTTACTCATTACCGTTCACTGGATGACCTTAGTTTAAACTGATTACAAGTCACTGAATAAAATCATAAATCAATTTTACAAACAAATATAAAATTAAATGCATATAGGTATGTACAAATTTGATTGTTTGGTTTTTTTGTTTGTGAGGTGTCAGGTTGTACAGATTTGAAATGAGATTTTTGCTTTGGTTAGATCTAGCACTAAGACAGACATCGAATGCGATTGCTAAGGAGCTCTCTCTATACACAAAGGCAATATATTATTAGATTTGTCCAAGAACTGACATCAGGGAATGCTGAACAGCGGTTTCCTCCTAGTGTTTGTCACTCTGTTGCTCTACGCCTGTGAAACCTGGCCTATCCGAGTAGGCTGAGAATGTGCGGCGTTTCTGCGTGTTCGATCATCGCTGTCTCCTCAGGATTGCTTGCGTTTGATGGCATCATCGCATGACTAATTCTGAGGTTTGGCGGCGCGTGTTTGAACACAGTGGAGATCACCATTCATTGAATGTCGTCATCTGGAAACACCGGCTCCGAAGGCTTGGACATGTGCTGCGAATGTCACCCCAGAGGCTTCCGTACAGGTCTCTGTTGGCTAGCCAGCCCTGGAACGGGATGGAAAAGGTGGAGAGGTGGCCAGTCCATGACGTGGCGTCGTGGGGTGAAGGATGTTTGTGCTAGATTAGCATCGGTTGATGTGTCACGACTCCCAGTTTGGGGTCTGCGAGATAGCTCGAAACGTTATCAGATATGGCCAAGAATCGTAATCAGTGGCGAACGTGTTGCGATTTCCTTCTTTCTTCCTTTCCCGATAACAGTTAACGAATACTGTTTGAACTTGTTAAGCATGACTGTTTTCCTTCCAGGTAAAGTTGTTTATCCGTTCTGTTCTTAAAGTTTTTTTTACTTTTGATCTATGCTGTCTTATTATTATTGTGTGGCGCATCTTTCGTGGTGCCATATTGTAACAAGTTTTTTCTGCGTTTAAATAAATAATAATAATAAATACTCTCTATCAGTACGCACCCGCCAGGGTTTCAACCCGTAACCTTCCAGCTACGAGGAAATCTTGTAAACCATTCATTCAGCTACTGGGAGGGAATCTAATAGCCCATAAATTCTGACAACTTCTACCAATTCATTGGTGTTTGTATTTGTTCTCACTGCCTTCCAATCAGGTGCACCCACCCCACTGGTCACAATGTCTCGCTAGAACTGCAGGCAATTTCGCGTCCTGTAGTAGCCACACTCACTAGTAAGCATCAGAATAATCCTCACAAAAGTTTAATTTTTTTTTAAGAATTCGATTTGCTCCAAAAGTTTCATTATGAGCTGACATCACAGTTAGAGAAGCATTGGAATATGTCAGAGTATAGTGATCCTAGTCTTATGCTTAGAAGACTGAGTATAAAACCTCTATAATGCCTTATTTAGTAGTCACACATTTGATTTGATTTGATGAGAGGACTGTGTAAGAAAGGAAAGAAGATGGCGCACATTAAGGAGTGTGTATAGGAAACCTATAACAACAGGTCATTACACTCATTTTTTGAGTTTTGTACCTTTGAAATATAAACCTAACCTGGTAAAGTGTCTGGTTCATAGAGCCAGGTTAATCTGTTCAAACGACTGCCTCAATGAGGAGCTTAAGATTATTAAAGAATTGATATGTATCCATATATATATATATATATATATATATATATATATATATATATATATATATATATATATATATATATATGGTGATCTCTCTTTCTGTTTGCTCGCTTAGTCTGTGACCATTTCACTTTGATGAACCTGTCTCCTTTAACAATGTATATTCTCCTTATATTATATTATATATAATATGAGTGTTTGTTGACAGTCCGTTGCTTGGTGACATATATCCATAGTATATGTGTGGTTGTTGACATGTCTGCTATATTTTGCTATATATATATATATGGATCGACACTCCATTATAATTAGCCATTCATGTTAAGACTGTCTATTGATTTGTTCACACACTTGTCTGGACATTCATATATATTTCGCTCTCACAATCTTGTGTGACTACTTTGGCGTGATACCACTTATTGCTTCTCCTTGTGTTTGGAAAATAGAAGTATCATCGCAAACCTAGTGGTCTTCTGATTTCCGTCTTTCTTGCGTCAGGACTATTAAATTCTCGACCAGTACATAGGAATAATTTGGCGACGAGTATATAACAATTTGGCGACGGGGAAAACTACTATTAACCACTCAGCAGCAGCAACATAACAAGAATTACATAGAAAAAATGGTTATCCAGACAAGTTAATTGAGAAAAATATGGATTCAGCACCTAGGAGAGTCAGTATGGCAACGATTCCGAAAAAACTGAAGTACCTTGGTGACAACATCAGCGAAATAATAACACAGCGCCTGAAGAATGCAGTTAAAAGAGCTTATTATGCAGCAGAGGTAGGTTGTCTCTTCACAACCCCCCCCCTATTCTACGTTCGAGAAATAAGGATAAACTACCTAAATTTGCCTCTTCCATGTATGTCTACCAGTTTGACTGCAGCTGCGAAGCCCGCTACATCGGACATGCAGTTAAGCAAGTTCATCATCATATTTCCGAACATCATCCAGCATGATTAAGCAAGGGATAAGCAAGCTCTGTTCGTAGCTCTATTTTAGCCCACCTTGTAGATAGTGAGCATAAGGTTGACGTTAATACTGCATTTAAAATTATTTATCGCATTCCGACTAATCTTAATTTTTTCTGTTTACAAGTTCGTCTTCTACATACAACTGAAGCAATAGGAATCCACCTGAAGAAGCCAAACACCTGTGTGTGTTCAGAAGAAATTTCTACAGACACTTTCCTTACCTTGACCATCGTTACATAAATGCATAAACCAGACTACTTCGGCCCTCCTCCCCCTAAACCTTTAAAAATTATAACTGTCCAAATTATTTTATTATTTTTTTCTGACTACTTCATCTTTAATTATATGTTATCCTTGTAAAATTATTTTAATCCTTATGACCACTTCAGCCTAAGTTACAAATTGATTGATTGTCGAAATCGTTTTATTTTCTTTAACAGCCTGTTACGTAATCAACCTGTGAACATGCTTATTCTTTAATTACTCTTCATCTTTCCAAAATTATGCATTATGCAATCGTCTTGTTGTAACCATTTCTACCTTTTTTAATTGTGTTATCAGCCAATTGGCATTGTGACACTGACTAATTATTGTTAACAAACATATCAGTGCCACTTGACTGGAAAACTGTATTGTGTATTGTAATAAAAATGCGATACAAGTATATTAGAGTACAGCCACACAGTGAGATGAGGATCTAATTGAAAAGTAAATATATTTCTTCGCTCGCTCAATCTTTCTATTTTCTAAATATCTAAATGGGGATTTTTTGCTATATAGAACTGTGTAAGGCATGAGAATACTAATTTTACTGAGGAATACTGAATGAATCATCCTTTTTACTCTTCCTTTTTGCTCAAGTATTGGTTTTGTAGGGATTTAGTTTGATTCTATGGGGGATTTCACCATGAGCTGACATCATTCAGAGAACCACTGGAAAACCAGCTGCGAGTACTGGACAGCTGTTTCATCAGCCTAGTTTGGGACTCTTCTTCATCATTAGACAACTGTCCAGTACTCCCAGAAGTTCTCTAACTGATGTTAGCTTATGATGAAATCATCAATGCACTTTTTCTTTTTTCACTCAAATTTCAGTTTTATATTCGTATCTTTATTGAAAAATCTTATGATCAATGTAAATTTCCTGTTTAACTGTTTCCCCTTGTTCTATGAAAAGAGAAAGTTAAATGCAATACGTATTGTATTACATGCTGAATATTACATATTTCTATCAAAGGTACTGTTTAGAATAAAGTCATTACTAATATTGTTGTTGTTATTATTATTATTACGGTTGCCGTTAATGTCATTGTTATTATCATTCATTATTTCTTTTTTAATTGAATTTTAGATTTTCCCGTTGACTGATTGGACCAAAGGACTCGGTCTCAGGTTGACTTCTTTTTGGCTTCTTGTGCAGATGCTTCGACAATGTCTAGGCATTTAATTAGAATTTAATTGGTGTATGGTGACTAGCAGTGGAATCTAGGATAAGGCGCATTTCGGTTGTCCCATTTGGGACTCGTCAGCTGGATGTACCTGCATTTCCCAGTGAGTGATGATGTTCCCGACGAGGCTCGAACCCAGTGCCCATAGTTTCAAACGCCAAAGCGTTATCGACTAGATCACTTGGGCCAACAAAGCCACATCTCGTGCAACGGGTCACATTAATTATTTAATTGAATTTTAGATTGATTGGACCGAAGTGCTGAAGCCGACATGTCAACCGAAGACCGAACGCTTCAGTCCAATCAATCGACGGGAAAATCTAAAATTCAGTTAAATTATTATTGTTGTTTCTGTCATTTCGCAATGTCTTCTTCGATGAGTTACTGCCTCATTTTCAACCTGCTGTACCCTACTGCTGATGGCTTCTCACTAGAACCCTTTGTAATTAGAAGGTCCTGGGTTCGAACTGTGGCGGGCGCGTGTGGGCTTACTGATGAAGAGTCCCAAACTAGGCTGATGAAACAGCTGTCCATTACTCACAGGTTTTCCAGTGGTTCTGTAACTGGTTTCAACTCACGATGAAATCCTCCACCTAATATGTAATTCCTGAATAACTATATAATGAGCTCTACGTAGTCCATTTTGTGTTTTTTGTAAGCGATTTTTCAGTCTTTTTTGTTCTATTATCTTTTATCATCTATTTTCGAACAAGTATTCATTACTGAACTAATTAGTTGTCAATGCTTTTGGTTACGTAAGACTACTCTTCAATTTTCAAATATGATTAATGCTCATGAACTTTGAATTACTTTGTTACTGGATGACAATAACCTTTGACCTCTTTTGAAGTGAAGTTGCGAAAAGTGATCTCATGCTGACACGTAAATTCTTAAAACTACTTGTATTTTTCAAGGGTTGGTTAGCAATGATTTGATCGGTTTCAGGATTTCATCATGAATTGACATCGGTCAGAGATCTATTGAAAAACACCAAGCAGCGAGTACTGCACATCTTAAATCCTCCATGCAATCAAACAAAATCTCTACAAAACCAATACTCGAAAATTAATCTGATGCTCACTAGTGACTGGCCCTGTTCAGGCAGTTAACCTGGGGTTCTAGTGGGAAGCCATGACCAGTAGGGTACAGCAGGTCGAAGATGCGGCAGTAACTCATCGAAGAAGACATTGCGAAGTGGTCGCGCTATGTCGTGAACTGGCAGAAGTTAGAATTCAAGGATCATTGGATCGGGTCCCAGTGGCTCAATGGTTTACGAGCTAGCTAGCCTTGTAACCAGAAGGTCTTGGGTTCGAATCCCGGTGGATGCGTACTGATGAAGAGTCCCAAACTAGACTGACGAAACAGCTGTCCAATACTCCCAGGTTTTCCAGTGGTTCTTTAACTGATGTCAGCTCATGATTAAATCCTCCATGCAATCAAACAAAATCCCTACAAAACCAATACTGCACATCTGTTTCGTCGTAGCACTCGAGACTCCTCGTCAGCACTCACCTGAGGCCAGGGTTCGAACCCAGGACTTTCCGGTTACAAGGCGAGCTCGTAGACCATTAAGCAACTGGGACCTGATCCGATGGTCCAGTGTGTGCTGTGCGCAGTACCAACAAGTCCCAAACTAGGGTCACGAAACAGCTGTCCAGTACTCTGTGATGGTCTTCCAATGGTTCTCTAACCGATGTCACAAGCAAAATATATTAAAGCATTACGTTGTACTTTACTTATCTTTGACTTGCAGTAGGCTAAGATGGAAGTTGAAATCTTTTCTTTTTTTGTTAATGAGACATTCATAGAAAATTTTATGCACACACACCTATATACACATACCTACCTCTATAGTCAAAACAGAAGACATGATAACCAAGGGATGACAACAATTTGTAAATATTCACTCTCCATGGGATAGCTCTTGTTTTTGAATTGCCATGAAAATAAATAAATACAGGCAAATCAGAAGGTAGTGCTTTCATAATTTCATCATAACTCTTTGAGCCAACATCACACTTTACTTGACTGCTTGATGGAAGAATGTGCCTGCCGCCAAAAATTAAAAAACAAAGAAAAAGATAAATTAAAATTTTTAATAATGAAAGAGTCAACCAATCTGTGTTTTAAAGTTGTATCAATCAGTTTACACACCCCAACGCCGGACCTCCGCCCCCAAAAATATGACATTTATGGCTATTATGACTTTACTGAGGTAACTTCATTCACTTATCTAGGATGCATTGTCTCAACTACAGGAGGAACGGATGAGGATGTCAAATTGAGAATCGGGAAGGCGAGAAACACATTCATCAACCTGAAATCAATCTGGAAATCTTCGTCACTCAGCATCAACAACAAAATTCAGTCGGATTTTCAATACAAACGCCAAGTCAGTCAGTTCTGAAGATCAGATGGCCGGGCCCGAAAGAATCACCAACAAGAAACTATGGCTGGGAACAAAAAAAACAAGAACCAATCGCCAACTAACAAATATGCAGTAGAAAGTGGAGGCGGATGGATTGAACACTCGCTAGCTGAGGAGGCCGCCGTTGGGTGACATCGCGCGCGCGTCAGGCCATTGCTTGAGTGGAACCAGGCCGAAAGGGAAGCGCCAAGTGGTACATCATTGCAGGGTGACATGGAGGAGATCGTGTGAAGAGGAGTTGAAACAGTATGGACTAACATGGATGCAGGTGAAAAGTACAGCAGAAGACAGACGCAAGTGGAGATGTGCAGTTGAAGCCCTATGTTCCACTAGAAACCCAAGGGAACAGTAGTAATAATGACAATGACATAACTGAGAGGCCAACAAAGAAGGTGAATCTCAGGACGCTTACAAAAACTGCATCCTACCTTACTTTATGTTCCGTTCCCACTATCTGGGAGGCTAACGAATAATTATCATTTTTTTAATTTTTTAATTTTGATTATAGCTTGATTCCACACAGTATTTTTTGGTGCAAGAATGGAATTTGGAATGGCATGTGATATCGGTAGCCCAATTTTGCAGGCGTCGGCAGGGGATTGAACCCCGGACCATATGCATGGTCGGTGAGAGTCATAACTGCTGTACCACCGAATGTTTATTCAAATAATGCATAATATATCAACATATTTATCTACTAGGAAGGAAGTGGTAAATTCAAGTGTTAGAATTGCAAATAAATTACTAAAATGGACATCTAAGCGTTGCTTAAGACATATTCCTTCCGAAAAAAAATAACAAGTTTGCTAAGTTTACAGGGTCTACAATTAATTTTATTTGCAATAAACGTGTAGGCTTTTAAATCGGCTCTTTACTAATAAACAAACAAACTTGCAGTTTCATCGCTCTAAACCTTAAAATACACAATGCTGCGGGATTTTCTACTGACGATGAAGTTTCATAAACATTCTTCGTGAATTTTCATATTCAGAGTTGTTAAAATTGAAATGTTAGAATAAGTAATAATAACTGTTGACGGTATATGTCCAACAGGAGCTTCCGGTCACAAGGCAAACTTAGAGACCAGCCTAGGTTCGAAACCCAGGCAGGTGTGTGATGCTGATGGGTTCTCAAACTTGGGCGAAATATCTCTATACATGGTCAAACTTGAAATAAATTAAATCCCTAGAACAAACAACATTACTGTCAAGGGTGCAATACTTAGTTAAAACAATTTGATGAACATATACTGCACACGGGATACAGAGGAATAGTTCATGGAGAACTAGAAATGAAAAGCTAAATAACAAGAAACTAAGGACTTCATGTGAACATAGAGAAAACATAGGTGATGAAGATTCCTGGCCAACACCAACAGCAACAACAACAACAACAGACAACAATCAGCCTGCATAAGTGGGAGAAATCTGAAGGAAACAACCTCCTTCACCTACCTACCTGGGAAGCATCGTTTCAACTACAGGTGGACAGAACTGATGAGGATATCAAAGTGAAGATCGGAGAAGCAAGACAAGCTTTCATTACCCTTAAGTCTGTGTGCAGGAGGTCAGCAGAACTCCTCAGCATGAAAAATAAGATCCGGATTTTCAACTCCAATGTGAAGTCAGTCAGTGCTACTATGCAGATCAGAGACTTGCACTGCGCGTCATAAAGAGCATCTCAAACAAACTTCAGACCTTCATTAACAGTTGTCTTCGCTCAATACTCAAGATCAGATGGCCGGCCAGAAAAGATCAGCGACAGGGATCTCTAGGAGCGAACCAACACAGCAGGAACCGATTGTGAAACAAATAGGCAGGAAGAAATGGAGATGGATTGGCTGGCCATACCCTGAGGAAACCATCAAGTGACATCACTAGACAAGCCCTCGAGTAAAACCCGAAAGGGAAGTGGTGAGTTGGTCGTTACCGCTAAGGTGACTTGGAGGAGGTGATGTGGAGAGGAGATGAAAGCATGTGGGCAGACCTGGAGCCAAGTGAAAACGTTGGCAGAGGCCTGAACGCAATGGAGACGTGCAGCTGAAGCCCTGTGTTCCTCTAGGAATTAAAGGAAATAATAATAAATAACAAGAAACTGACAGCATAGCTATGCCAACTGCCTCATTTCGAAAATTCTATCAACAAAAGAACTAATTTTCCTTAGGTTTTGCCTGGTCTAAATAAGGATGTTTACAGAAAATTAAATTGACATTTCATCTGACGAGGAGCAAACAAAAACAACAACTGGAAGGAAATTTGCAAAGATGTACACCACGAAATTTCCTTGAAGTCATTGAAATCACGTGAACGCAAAGAGAAATAAAACTGCATGCTATATAGCCTGAATTATGAGAAATCAAAACAGACTACTCACTCACTCAGGCTTGTCCTAATAACTGATCACAATTTTCCCTTAGCAACATGTAAAATCTTTAGACTACTAGCGCTTGTTTTATTTCCATGATAAACTGAGTCTTGGAAACAAAACATTCTAGAGCGCCATGAATCTGTGAAGCTTGTTTGAAAGCAATTTAACCGAATTTTCACTTTTTTTCAACGAGAGTTTTATGCTTATTACGTTAAATATTATGATGGATGGAAATTATGCAGGATGGAAACACCTTTTCTATGCCTCCATTTGTCTCTACAACAATCTGGCTGACCGAAAGCAAATTTAATGCTATTGGAAATGTAAGTATAAAAGTCAAGGTGCACTAAACAATTCTGTTTTCCATAATAATATTTGGCTTACTTACCATACCCCTAACAGAGCTTGATGGTCCACAGCATTGACATAAAAGTTATGGGCATATCCACTAGGAATGTCCACAGATTCAAAATGTGTATAGACTCTAGGACCAAACAAGGGTCCACCTTCATTAAAAAAGGAAAAACACTGAAAGTTTAAAAACTTGCTAAATTTTTAAGAAATATTCACATATTCAGTCAAAAAGTAAAGTAAATGAAAAGTCAGTTACGAACATTTGTATAGTCTCTCACTTATCTCAATGTAAAGGCTATGCTAAAGATAACGTGTGCAGGCCGATAGCCTCTACCTTGACGTGGTATTCGGACTTTCGTACCAAAGGGATTAAACAAGTTACACTTTCTCGGACCTATATTCCTGTAGGTCCTACCATGCTAGAAAGGTTGTTTGTATAGCGATTAGACTATGGTGTACACAGACTCCACAATCCAAACGGACAGTATATTCTATTGGTCACCAAATGCCATGAGAACGTAGTTTCTGAGGCTGTTCCGCTACCACGTAGATGAAAATTCAAGTCAAAGGCTCGAGGGATGGTCCCCTCAAGACGGTCACCTATTTCAGTCTCAGCGCACAGACAGCATCCCAGACCTCTAGCAAAATGAGAACTGCTAAAGACATAAATATTATGCTGCACTATACTGATGATTATTTGGAGTTAGTTTTATCAATAAACGTGAATATTTCTAGCATGAATTATGCAATATTGACCATTTAATTCATATAAACAATACTACATCAGTCTGGAAGTATCGTTTAGCTGTTTAGCAATCGTAAAATTCGAAATGCTTAGTTAAAACGTGCTGATCCTTAGGAAATATATTTACTTTTCACTGAGATAGTGTCGTTCAAACCAAAACATGGCATCAGTCAATGAAATCCACAACAGTTAGTGTGAGCCACGTAGGAAGGTGTAGACTTCCTGGCGGATTGGGGTCCTCGGGAGGGTAAAAACCAATGGCTGGAAACAATTGGTGATATGGCTCAAAACCAATGGCCGGCGCAGATGGATTCACTCCTTGTGAATTATGATTTCAAATGAAACTACATCGTTCTTCGTTATTACTATTCCTTTGTCTCACACCTCTGTCTACTGTCTCTATTATGCATTTCTTCTACTTTCTCTTGCTTTGTGTGCCACATGGATGGAGTGTGGCGAATTGAACTGCTGTACATTGGCGCAAAGTTTTATGTCGAAAACAGACAGAGAGACTTTTCACTGAACGTCCAAAATTTGAAAAATTACTAGATAAGATTTCAGGAAATTCACTCTTTATTGCAATTTCATGACACAGTGTGCATACGAAAATGGCAAACAAAAAGTATGAATATGCGAAATAAACATTGACTCCAAACATTAACTTCTCTCCTTTCTTAGTGATGAACATCGGCTAAACAATTCAGCAGACAACATGAATCATCCATTGGGAATAGATTCATGAACAGCTGAACTCATCAGATGGCTGGATATTACAACTAGGTCTATTGATTTAACCAACCTTAAGTGGAATGTCGACTGAGAAGAATGATTCAGTATTAAGTTAAATGTCTTTTAAATTTCAATGTTTATCTGATACAAACTTTATCACACACTTTATACGCACACAAAAATGTACAGAAATTTGTATCACTGCACTGGTAAAATAATGCTTATCGCGAACGCTTAAGACGAATATTTTGAAAACTGCTGGTCGTTCTGTAGTCTCTATGCTTACCATAAGTTTAGGTATCGATGACTACAAAGTTTACTACGTCTAATTTTATGCGCAAATCTACCCATCAAATAGCGGCATAGATAATATCAGGAAAAAACTCGCGTATGAACAATTATTTTTCCTTTCCACGATTAAAATGCCTTCTTTAAGCTCTTTTACGTGACTGAAGTGCGATGCATGTTTACTAACTAGGATATGAATAGACTTTAATTTGAGTGTATAATCCAGTGAACTCCAACTTGTTAATTCTAGATTAGGTTCAGGATTGAGTGCACGATGGTGATTTCACTGGAACTTTAGAACTTTAGAATCACTAAACTTTATATCTCCCCGATTTTTAGTTTTCGGGCTGTGTAACATACTAATTTGGAGGTGATGAGCCTCCTGTGCTTCATTTCTTTCCAGCCTTTCAAATCTGTTTTGGCTCTCGCTGTAGATATATATTTAATTGTTTTAACTAGTCTTATCACCTTACGAGACTTATTTTTTCATTCAGGTTTTTGACTGCATTAGACTTGGTAATTTATTCAGGTTGAGCTGGGAATATTTCATTGGAATTCAATTTAAGTAAGGTGTGATCAATAAATCTGTTTGGAATGAGATTAAAAGCACTCATAAGTACTCATACAAGTGTAGTAACCAGCTGAAATGATATGTAACACGTGAAAAAATCTGCACGAATCTCTCCTGAGCAAATAAGATTAATATAAGCACTCCAACAAAACCTCGAGGAGTACTCACTTCAAAATGCGAATAATACTTTTATCAGCATTTATTTATTTATAACTTTGAAAACCTTAATTTTTTACATATACCGTTAAGTGAGTTGCTCATGTTCATATGAACCACGTTATATGTATTACTTTTCTATGATGCAGCAATTTACGCTTTTCCTACTACATAATTAATTCCGAATATTTTTAAATATTTTATGAAAGATTTTAAGATTTACGTCGTTTAACCTAGAAAACAAACATCAAAGTTACTAGCTAATGTTTCTGACTAATAAACTTAGCTATGTTAAGTGAAGTCTTGAACGAATATCTTCGTAAAGTTTTTAGTTCTGAATACTTCTGGGACAAAATTTGTCCTTTTACTTTTAAAATCTCTACTGAAATATTTAGCCCCACTATGTACTATGGCATCAGCTCTTGAACGAGCATTTATTCATAGTAAGACATGAGCTAACTCATAGTAAAAATATTGAACAGCTATTTTTATGGTGATGAGACCATTTATGTAAAGAATACCGACTCACATGATTTTGTGAAGCATTTCCAGATTTTTTGCTTGTAACAATAAAAAAAATGACTAAGGCTATGGAAATTGTTATTAATTACAGTTAATTTTTCATTAGCAGAAAGTAACTCTAAAATCTACGCCAAAGTGAAGGTGCCATTTCATTTAAGACAAAAATAAAACTGTCGTAAACTCGCAGCTTACTTTGGTTTGAGGATGAAGCATTTTGTGTTTTTGTTTCGTAAGCAGAAGGATATGGATATGTGATCTACACCCCCAAAGCTGATCACATAATGGTTAAACACTAGTCAGTCGTCTTTAAGACTGAAGCGGAAGAGAAATATTTCAGTTCTCATGGTTCCTGTTATGATGCAATATTTAGGAGGGAAAAGTTATCTAGTGATTATTATGGAATAATCACCTAACTATCGTAAGCACTAAATATAATCTACATTCAAGCACGACGATTTTAGAACCTATTTTCGACTTTTCAAAAGTAAGTTTAACACCATACTTATGACGACGCATATCATGATATGAGTTACACATTACACACTTACTTTTTGTATTGAAGACAAGGCGCCGAAATAACCAAGGAAAATATTCCACAATATAAGGCAATGCAATGTAAATGATTAGTGTTAAATGAAGCAGAAATGCAGACACCCAAAGTAATAACATCCTCAGCTCGCGAAATATAAAATTGCGTTTGATTTAGCACGAAGAGTTATTTTAATAAAGTCAAACAAATTCGACAGTGTTTGATACATTGAAGTTCTTAGAAAATAAAATCATATAACAGCATATCTTGGAAGTCTTTTAAACATACTTTGTATGATTGTTTTCTTTTCCTACATATGAAATCACAGAGGTTGCATATCCATAAGAACGAAAACACAGGAAATAATTTCAGAAAGTACTATTGGGGGTATAAAGACAAAATTTGGGAATGTGGTAGAGTATAATTCCATTTTGCTAATTTTGATAAAGTCACATAGTCTCATTCAGTAATATTCACTGATGACGTTTCAAGCACAATTGATTGCTCACTATCATATCACGGTACCTTGATAGATATACCGAGTATCATTGTACGAGGACCACAAAAACAGCAAGTGTAATCGGAAAGTGCGAAGCTTATCACACGGTTATATAAACACATAGACCCCAATCAAAAATGTGGGCTAAGACGTAACTTTGAAGACTACCGAAATACAAGACATGTGTTAATTGTATTTAATTGTGTGGTGGTTACTTCCTTCTTCTTCTTCAAAGTTACATATATTACATAGCATGGAAAACTAAATTTCATGCAAAGAATACACTCCGCAGACTCACACCTCTGAAAATGTGGCTTTTTAATTTGACTTTCACATTCTTAAAAAGTCAGTACCATCAACTTTGCTAGCGTTGAAGGAATACGTCTTGTGTTAAAATGACACGCAGGCAGTCAAGGTGCCAAAACTGCTGCTTGATACTTATAGAAAGTTATTAACTTTAAATATGAAAACACCAGGTGTTTATCTACAAAAGTAAGAGATCGAACTGTTGCGCTATGATGTTCTGTTTCTGTGTGGATCATTCCATATTCTTTTGGAAATTAACCACGTTCCACATTTTATCCCTTTGTCCGTAATTAACAAGCATTGTATTGTGTCTCCTGGAACTATATGTAGCATTCACTTGTGGAATCTACACTCGAAATCTTCTGGTATCCCTCCTAACCACGTCGGACTGAGAATTTTATCCCCAGACACTACTGTTAAAGGAAAGTCTTCCTTTTTATTCTGCAATATATAGCTGTTATCGTTGTTTTTGATTCCTGGATAATACAACAATCTTTTTTATGTCCTCAGGACTCTTTCTTCCGAAAATTCTGAAAATTCTTGTTTCTGTAATGGTCAATCACACGTGTAAGTACCATTAAGAGACTGAGATCCAATACTTTTCAACCATCTGGAGGCCTCGGTTCCGTAGACGGTCCTACAATTTGGCACCAGACACACCCAAAGTTGTGGATTTCTGACTTCATGGAGTTTCTGACAGATGATGCGGCTCGTAGCAAAAGTCATTTACTGACACTTCAGTGATCAATAACATACCCACAGTGCAAGTTTCACAGCATTATGCCCATCATACAACTGTGTGAATAGTAACAAATCATCTGTCTATAATCACTTATCAAATCCGAGTGCATAACTGACTATTTAGCTGAAGAAGCCATTAATAGGATTATATCTTCACATAACGCATTAACTTATTGCATTCCAGACAGAGAACCTATTGCCAAACTAAAAATTTCGTGTCTAAAGGCTTGTAATATGTCGTTAACAGAATGCCAGGTTTTGTGTCTTCGTAAGAAATTTGCAAGCCACTCATGTTCGGTGTTTTTCAAATTCAGGTCTATCTAAGAATCTAGGAATTTTATGACATCTGGTAAGATAGTGGGCTTTTCAATGCCCTATATTAACACTAGGGTTGCATCTGATTAAACGCCATGCCAAAGACGATGCCACTCACGAACCCTGAATGCTAATAGCTGTAATAGGACAACTAATAATAATATATTCTCATTTTGTGCATGAGGGACGCCAATTTACAGACATCATCAATATGATAAATTACATATACGATTAGCAATCGTACCTAATGATAATGTTTTAATAAAATACATACTTTTTTCCTACCTGTGTAGGACACACCAGATGTACAGGCATGGATAAGCAATATTTAAATTTCATAAATTTGGTTTATGGTTAAATTACATGGTTACTGACGTTTTTGTCTTTGGTTTGTGGGAACAATATGATAACTAGTCATTTAATGGAGCACATCAAGAAATATAGAAATATTGTCTTCGCACTAACAAAAAAACCCAAGTATATTTGGATGGATAACAAATACTTTGGAAACAATAAAGCTTGAAGTAATTCCCCGGTAAAACGTGGGTGTATACAAAACCGAATCTTATCCTTGATTTATATCCAAATTTGGTAATAATTAAAATAAGTGACACACGTGTATAGTTTTGTCAGCATTTTCATCGTAACATCACGAGTGAATTGTACTCAATGTAGAATAATATTAATGATAGTATACATTTTCTTACACATGTGTGTTTTCAAGAAAAGGAAGCTATTTTTACAGATACGATCAGTTATGTTATAAGTTACAATCGTGCCGTTGTATTATAAATTAATACTATTCCATTGGTATAAGAGTATATTCCACAGCTGTAATCCAGGTTGCGTCGTGGGGGAAGGTAATACGTAATTCACTAAAGAATTGTAAGATATGGGACCAATAAAGTTTGCAGATCATTCGTCATTGTAAATGGTCAAATATCCACATACTTCATTCTTATTCAAAAAGTCAAATGGAAGCTAAAATGGTGAGACATAAAGGAAGACAAACAACAGCAACGTAAAAGAAAGCAAGAGGAGTCCTGAAGGAGTGAATAATAAATATGTACATATATACTATGTTTAGTAACTATGGTTATATTTGTGCAATAAACAACTAGTTCCGTTATGTTAACTTTTATATTATGTGTGAACCAATATTGATGTCCTGTGCTGAAATGTTTGTCATCTAGTTCAAATAATAATTTATTATCATTTATTATTGTTCCCTTGGGTTCCTAGTAGAACATAGGGCGTCAACTTCACGTCTCCTGTCAGTCACGGCTGATAAACCGTCAATGCCCAGCTCTCGCTACGCTCGGGCCCACGCTGTTCCTTGCAGTATTCCAGAAACGCTTAATAGTAACGGAAGCGAAAAACAAAACACTGATTGGCCGCTTGAGAATTCTTCATTGATACACCAACATATAAACACTGTTACAACTAAGGTCTGTGAACAAATATTACAATAATAAATCATAAGATTACTCCCGACGGTTGTCTCCTGACTTCTTTCTGAACAGCGACCGATGAGACGATGACTGTCGTATTGATGCCTCCGCGAAAATTGGGGAAGTTGGTTTGAGCAAACAACCATGAATTGATCGTTCAATCTTCAACTACATTGACACTCCCCGGCAAAAAAGGGATCCAAACCTTTTCTCCTTCACGACCAATACACGTCGACTTGGATGCCATTGCGAGAACCTGGGTCACACGGACAGAGCTGAAATGGAAAACAAACAGAAAAGCCAGCACACCACAAGCATACCCACAGCATAATCTCACACATCGCTGACGACCTGCGCCTCCAGACAGAGACCTCCTCTTGACATCTTGCAACACAATCGCCATTTGCTAGAATGACTCTTGCACAATGCAACGTGACCATAACACCAACTCATGATACTCCACCCACATCGTCTTATCTACTCATTACCAATTACCACTGAAATCGCTTGTCACTCATTCTGCCTCAGTTCTAGTAACGGTGACGCATGCTAGCCTCAGTCGTTTACACTCTTTCTCCCCAGCGTGTGGGACCTCAGCTAACAATTATCTCCGTATGCATTTCATTCTCAGCAATAGCCTAGCCTCCTCGGCGTATACGACCCATCTTCTGTCTCTAGCATCAATCAATTCATTCACGGATGTAGAAGACTCGAAACAACTTCAGAAGTAATCACGACGAAAATTTTAACAAAATTACGCAATAACAACAAAATATGAAAACAACGAGTAAACACAATGAATCCAAAAACACCAATTGATATGACACACCACACGTATATACAAACAGTAAAAACAACCTCGCCGATCATGTCTCGGTGGAATTCCTTTGAAGAATCGCAGGACTTACACCAGTACGCCTACAACCCTTCTCAGGTTGATGATCCAAGTGGAAGTCGTCCGGACACAAACAGAATTAACAACAGCTAGATGACAGATGAAATCAATTCAGTATATACAATATGAACATATGTACAAAATCACACACCAAGCACACTGGACTGCTCATTGATGCGCTACCCTTTGAAGAACTGTAGGACTTACACCAGTACGCCTACAACCCTTCTCAGGTTGACGCCCTAGGTTGGAAAATCGTCGGAGAGTTCATTTGCTAACTTCCTTCTATCAGCTATATCCTCAAATCTGAACGGCAACACGCCCATGTCATTGTATCGCAGAATATAGATGACCAACAAACACACGACATATCTGATCAACCAAGCGTAGAAACAGAGTAATTTACACCAAAGATAATAGCATTCTAATAGTAACTTGAAACTAGAAATTATTTTATTCGTGCAAGTCAATTTAACAATTACTCTCTCGTTTACACTTGGCTTATCCTCACTAAACTGACCATTGATATTCGTCCTTTCAAAGGAACTGATACTAGCATAGTCATTGCACAAGATACTTGAGATGATGGGTGTCTGTTTCATTGTGGATGACAGCACCAACGACGACTGATTGATACCAGTTGATGAAGTTAGCGGTGGATCAAAAGCTGTTGTTGTTCGGCTTTCAGAAAGTTGTCTACCTGCAAGACCACCACCACTGCCGTCTTTTACTATCAGCTCAGGTTTAGCACTAGCATCTGATGATATGTGGGCTACATGCTGATCAATCACACTGATGGTCTCACAAGTACGCATGCCTTCTGCAACTGCACCTGCATTTTTTTCTACTTCACGTTCAAGTTGTACAGAACCTTTGTTCAACTTAGCAGTAGTAGGCATATCCCTCATCTCATCATGATCAACCAAAGACAAC